AGGCTAGCACTCTACCACTTGAGACAAGCTCCACTTCCGGCTTTTTTCTTTTTGCTTATGTGGTGCTGAGGAATTGAACCCAGGGCCTCAGGCATGTAAGGCAAATACTCTACCACTGAGCCACCTTCCCAGCCCATGTGCACTATTTTCAAAAGCTAGAAATCCTAGACAAAAAAAAAAAGCCTAAAAGAAAAACTAAATCAATCTTAGACCTTCATATTATCTTTTTTTGTGTGTGTTGGTTGTGGTGCCTGAACTCTGGGCCTGGGTGCTGTCCCTCAGCTCTTCAGCTCGAGGCTAGCATTCTATCACTTAAGCCACAGTGCCACTTCAGACTTTTTCTGCATATGTGGTGCTGAGGAATTGAACCTAGGGCATCATGCCTTCAAGGCAAGCACTCTACCACTGAGCCACCTTCCCAGCCCTCATATTATCTTTCTTTACATTTTAATGAAAGTTGTAATAGAAAGGACTAATGTTTCATTTTTTAGTCTAGAAATTTGAAACCTGTTCTAGAATTGCAACTGAACTTCTATTAACTGGAATTCAGAGAAAAGAAAAAGGAAAAACTGATAAGAGTCAGAGAAGTTTTGTTGTTGTACCAACAGAGAAGTATTTTTAATTATGTGTGTCCACAAGCAATGAATAAACATAGATTGTTTGAAATGTGAGTTGTTCCATCTGAAATGCTAGAATTAGTCTGAAAGTTCCCTGAACCCTCCAACTCTGGCCTGTGTTTGAAGGATCCAGTTATTTTCTAACACCAAGTAAGCCTCTTCTGTAGAAACCAACTAGAGCCCCATGCTCACTCTTCCAACAATCATCACATACTTCATCCTAAGTCTGCTCCTCTAGCAAAGACAGGGTAATGTCAAGGGCAAAAAGCACAGCTCTTAGGAATAACAAATGTATGCACTGTTGACAGTACAAAAACATACAAAGTCACCAAGGGAAGGTATCACTTTAGTATTTAGTGAGAGATCAAGCCAGCCAGGAATTCAAAACAAAAACAGCTGCCAGTTAGTGTTGACTAAAGAACACAAGTTAAGCTCAGAAAATGCCATTACCATGTCATAGCAAAGCCCAGAAATCTCTCATTACAAGAATAGTTTCTATTAAGCCAAAACCACTAAGCAAAATTAAAGGGGAAAAAAAAAGAGGTTAAATCAGAACACCGGATGTGTGTGTGTGTGTGGGGGGGGAGTAGTGGGGAATGAAGGGGATTCTGAGAAGAACTACTGGGAGTAATCTGTTTCTTTTTCTGGCAGCTGTTCCATGACAGATTGTTATAAATAACAATCTGGCCATTTTCTACAGCAAGGAAAAAAGAAAAATACACTTCTCTGGGAAAAAACTGTCAGAACATAGTAGTTCACAAGGCTTTTACCCACTCAGCCTTTCTACAAACAATGGCTGGGATTCAAATCACCACCCCCCTGTAAATATGAAACTAATGAATTCAGTTATTTGGTGTGAGTACAATTGACCACAATTTACATATTCCTATATGGTCTAATCCAATTAAATCCTCAAAAG